GATTTGTAGGAGGATCCAATGGAGCTGTTTTATCAACATGCACTTTTTCTCTGACCTGTTTCTCCATATATCAGGAAACATGACATTTAATATCTAAGTATTCACATTTGTACAAGCTTCAATCAAATGGTATTCATCTTGATGCATTTCCAAGCACCAAACAGTTTGTTCCGGATTTAAAATTTCAAATTAGTTGTACTAGTTGTTTCCTCATGTGGCCACCACTCTGTTCCCCCTAATTTTTTCTATCAAAGAGCCACACAATTGCTGAATGAGGAACCCAAAAAGTGACCAGAGCGTCAAGGACACCACTGTCATACAGTTCAGGTGGCCAGCACGACATTCACATGCTACCTTATATTCTCGTCAAAACAGTAACAAGATGTGCATAATCTCGATATACTGCTCTCATCCCACTAGCTAGGTGCACGCCCATAATGGCATGGTTCATGGGTTTGAGTCTAGGACCTCAGTTTTTTAGGCTAATAACGTTTTCCTGTCGCTGCAAAGTGGGCCCCCATTGGGGAGACGTTTGATGTCGTGCAAGTGCACAGGGCTGCAATTTGTGATAATTTGAGCTTGTCGACCCACGGAGAGTGACATGCTGGCAACTACCAACCCCGCAACTACATTGTCACGGACGCAATTACTTTTGTATCCAGACGGTAGCCTGGAAATAGTTTATTCTATTGGTTGGTGAGGTAACAACAAAAAGGAGGTAGTTAACTCACTACGAAAAATGTAGCAACGGCAAATAAAATGAGAATAAAGGGTGGCATTTGATTAATGGAGGCGTTCTTAGGGAGGGTTAGTGTCGTCACTACTAGTACGATCTACGTAACATATGCACAAACATAGTTCTCAGTTGTGGATAACTAAGACACTTCGATATGTTTGATGTGGGCAGAGCCTGGCACCTCTCACACACGTCACCACCGTTTCTTCCCACATAACGGTGATCAATGGTCAACCCGTGGATGCTGCAAACTGCCTAGCTTGATAGCACCAAACATGCCGACTTGGCGTCTGCTGCGAAGACAAAATGTCATTGTTGCAGCAAGCAAAAAGCAAGTAACAACTTTCCTTTGTTTATACGTACCAACCGATATGTAGAGGTGACTGCAAAAAATAGGAGGACTGCATGTATGAGACCTAGTCTTGGAACCCATGTCTTATACTCCCTCTGTTCCTAAATATTTGTCTTTCTAAAGATTCCAACAAGTGACTACATACAGAGCAAAATGAATGAATCTACACTCTAAAATATGTCTATATACATCCGTATGTGTAGTCCATTTGAAATCTTCAAAAAGAAAAATATTTACTCCCTCCGTTTCAAAAATAGATTTGTACTAACTTTAGTACAATTAGTACAAAGTTATTTTGGAACGGAGGGAGTATGAACGGAGGGAGTACGTACCAACCAATGACGATAGTCTTAGTTTATCTTTTGTTATTATTATTTTCCTTATCTTAATTATGTACTCAGACTACGAAATGTCAATAAATGATGTATATCATCACCTAATATGGTTTCACTCTAACGGAGTTGGCCGGCGGTTCAACATAGAATATAATTGGCCGGCCCTTCCCAGTTCCCACTCCCACCAACCATTCATTGATTGTTTTCTTCTCTCAGAGAGAACTTCTGCCGCCCTCGCCAACAAAGGCGATGGAGGCTTGAGACTGCAGCGCCCTATAAAATTCACTTACCACGTTCGTTCATTCAGATTCAGATGGCATGTCTTTGTGCGAAGTCAAAGCCTAGTAAGTTTTTATAGTTT